AACCTTCAAGATTAAAATTGTTACTGTATAATAAAATGTTGTTCTTTCATATTCTAACCTCATAAAAGTCATAACTCTATTATTAATACCCTAAAAACCATTTTCCAACCTTTATACCTATATTTTTGATTTTTTTTGCTTTTTCCGTCTTTTTGTAATAACTTTGTAAGTAAACGATAATGATCTTAAGAATATATTTGAAATGAGATGACATAATCTTGAGCCAATAACTACACATAAGCCTATAAGAGCTTCAATTGATCTGAAAACCCCCATTTCAAATTTTCTGCTACACTGAAGTTTTCTAATAACTTGATATTGATAAAGTAATGATGATTAATTTTCTTGATTGATCCCATAAATAGATCACCACACCAGAAAGACACAAAAATTCCAAGCGCACTGTCAGCTCCTCTCCAAGTGATTGGGCTTCACCAAGAATGCTCGGCGGAATTTGGTTATTGCCTTTAGATTTGGTGCACTTGTGGTAATGTTTGATCTCTGTAGGACTCCATCTTTTGGTCAGTTCTTGGTAGTTTCCAAGCGTGGGTTTTACTGGTGGATTTTTGGCTAGAGGAATCCCCAAATTATCACAAGGTTGAGCAGGTTACTCAGGATGAGGGAGTTTGGTAGCATGGTCGATCTTTGAGTTTGAATCCTTGATCTTGGTGGGTCTCCTGCACTTCTTTGTTGGCGCAGCTGCCACATCATCCTGTTCAGATTCTGTGGTACATAATGATTGGTCAGCAAAGGGGGATTACTCTGATTGGGAAAATTACCAGACCATTCTCATGTTCCTCCGCAAGGGATACATTTGACTCTATATTGGAATCTGAATCTGAATATGATTATGTTGCAGAATGAAGATCTGAAGATCAGCCTCAAAATCATGGGGACAAATAATTATAATTTACTTTTGTAACTCAAAGGGCTGTCACACTGAGACTTTTCAGCATTGTCTCCATCTGTCAAGGCAGCCAAGTCAAGAATCAGCAAGGGCAATATATATGACAGAGAGAGTATGATGGTGATAGTAGTAAAGCTCCGACCTTGGTCAGGCTTAATGGTGTTTGTATTTCCGGCTCGAGTGTGTTGGGTCGTGGGTCCTGTGGAGGCTGAGACTCTGGCCTTCTTGTTACAATTTGGGGCCATTTGAAAAATGGGAACAAGGTTAAGAATGAATAACAAAGTGCAATGCTGGGATACTGGGAATGCTTAGAGTGATATGTGATGCATGCAGGGTTGGATTTGGGTAGAGTAGTGGAGTCAAGCTGTGGGTGTACCTAATTGGGTTGGGTGTTTACAGTTGACAAGTGATAAGTGGGGGAGGTTTTTGGTTGACGGGTTGATACTTAGGTTGTCCTACCTAGGTAGCATACAATAAACTTGTTGTTGACGGGTTGATATTTAGGTTTGTTACACACATTCGTAAGTAGGTAGACTTAAAACAAGGAGGGTATAATGAGTCAAGGGGAATGGTGGGGGCGGCTATGCCTGGGGTTGGGGTTGGGTATGTATTCTTGCAATGAGAGGCTATATATTGCTGTGTTCAAGCTGAACTGATGGGTTTGGGTAAGAAGGGTATGTAGCGGTTGTGAGAATCCATACATATGATACCCACCTGGAAATGAACCATACATTGGTCTATAAGGTGAATTCAATTGGATGAGACCAGAAATCAAAGGAGTCAAGCATGAGTTTGGGTGAGGGTGTAACCTTTCATTGAAGGTGGGTAAACCTTCAGAAAGGGTACAAAGCACATGCGGCACTTGTAGGATAGGCCGGGTTGATCAAGCGGCTACCAATCAATTCAAGCTATCAGTTGGGCTGTTTCATGATGATAGGATATAATGAAAGGAATGGAAGAGCAGCAAGAAAGGAACTTACATTGCTGTTAGCATGGGTGGGAGGTTCAAAATAAATGAATGGGTCATCAAACTCTTCTTTTTCCAGTTTTCTTTCCGTTTCCTGATGCGTAAGTTCTCTTCATCTGAATCTTGGGCTAAATCTACCTCTGGAGGACCTAATGGTATCTGGAGATGGTTATAATTGCAAAGCAATCAGTACCAAGTTTGAAGTCACAAAAATCTTTGCTTACCACTGGATTTGAATGTATTGACTTGTTATCAGCATCTGATACAGAGAGTGATCTGCCTCAATGAGTACCTGAAACCTAAGCTACAAATTAATAAGTAATAAGAGTTATGGAAGGATCAATAACAGAAAGGATAGAAGGAAGCAAGATTAGACTCACTCAGACAAAAGGCCTGAAACCCTACGTCCACGGGCTGGTTTGTGAGGTGGTTGAGCCCCTGGTAGAGAGCCCAAATGTTCATGTTGTTGGTGAACGTTCATGTCCCTCTCATCTTGAGACTCATCAAACAGACCACGGCCCTTAAACACAATAAAAGGGAAAATGAATGTAAATGATTGAACAATGGAGAAAGGAATCAACATAAGAATAAAAGAAGACTATTAGTAATTTACTGAGATTGGCTTAAAGTTATGGTAACGGTAGATGAGGAGTGTGAAACCATGGTTGATTGTCCACGTGCTGTTCCAAAAGGTGGATGATCACCAGGTAGCAAGACCAAATGTTCATGTTGTCGGTGAACATGGGTGTCTCTCACATCTTGGACCCCATTGAACAATCCACAGCAAGAGTCAGATGACGGAATGATCATCCCAGCGACTCATCTTGCTGGTGTGACTATGCGAGAGGAGTGTTGAGGTGCTGGATGACCATTGTTGGTCTTGTATCCAGAAGACAAAAACAATTCAATGGTTGGTTGCTTGGTTAGATTAGACATGATTGGATGATTTACAACTACGTTGCTTAGCAATTTGAAAGGTCTGAAAGACTAGGTGGAAATCAATCAATGAGATAAGGAAAATGATGGTCAACAATTCTGATATTGTTAATCAATGGGAAAGTAAGAAATGTGAAAGGGCATATGTACTCACCTAAATATGCCATATGTCTAAACTACGGTTGATGGAAAGTGACCACATTTCAATAATTGATGCCAATATTAACACTACCAGCATAAAGTAATTTTCCCAAGTAAAAAATGAATACATTTAGAGCAAAAAATGATTGAAAATGCATTTGATCAGCATTAAATCAGCATTAAATCAGCATTATTCAGCATTAAATGAGCATTTTTGATTAAAAATGCATTAAATGTAATCATTTTTTCCTTGGGAAAATTACCTTTTGCTGGGAGTGTAACTGGCACAGGATCCAAGCGCAAGAAAGCCTTCCAGATTGGTAAGATCCACTAAGCAGAAATTGATGGTGGCTGAAGTTGTATAATGGAAGTCAAAAAGGGCAGATTGTTGAGGTTTGATAGCGGTTTTCCCCCTGTGAGAAGATCTGCCCATCATCTATACATATACATCAATTGATGATGATCAATTTCACATCTTAAATAAAGTCATTAATTAGTAATCATTTCATCATACAATTAGATCAGAGGGGTTTTTGTTGGTTGTTTACTATTGTGGGTGTTCATAAAAGATGATATATATTGATGATGGATATTTTACAGGCTTTTGTTCCCCTTTTCTTCATCTTATACCTTTGTCATAGTGTATTCAATTGTTATTAAATTACTACATTTGTACCAAGGTCACTTAAATCATCCCCTTCAAATTAATGAGAAATTTATCCATGTGTGATAAGGCTACAAGTCTTCTTTGGGAATAATACTTACAACAGTATTGCCAGTAATCTATATGTTTTGTGTCTTTGTGCTTTAGAAATTGGGAATAATACTTATAATAGTATTGAGATCATTCTGTGGTACCTTATCTTTTTCTCTCTTATCACAAAGTGGTCAGCAAGTGACCTTGTGCTGGTTTCTTTGAAGAAGGCAGTCTTAGACGACTTCTACTTGTTATATATTGGTTGATTATCCCTTCTCAGGTGTTTTAAAGCTCTTGTTGAGCTGTAAATACTGAACTGTGCTATGTGATGGCATCTTGCATTGAGAGTCATATATCTTCTCCCTAAATTCATCCAAGAACAAAAAGGTTCTTTTTTGATGATTGTCTCCAAGAAATTTTGATCTTCTGCATTCAAGGGCTAACAAGGACCACATTTCTTGTAGTTGTGAGGATTGTGTATGACAGCTCATGTACAATTGTATAGGTGAGTCCAGTGAATGAATGATTGACATGATATGGGCTTGCAGAGTTGTTGACATATGGTATGTAGACCTTGCATTCCTCAAATTTATAGATGGTGAAGCAGTTGATTGAACAAAAAATCATGAATTGTTTTGTTTTGTTTTCACCTGGCAGATATATTGATCTTTTTCAAGTGACAGGTGCACTCAATTGAAAGGGCACCCCAGGTAGGTTTCCATGTTATGAATGGCAGCACAACAGTTTGGGCCAGATGTTTAGAAATCCAAGTCAACTGTGACAACAGTTCTAGCATATGTGATACCCTAACTGATCAAGACAAAAGAATGATCTGAATGAAAAGAAGATGGTCAAGAAAATGATTTATAAGTTTGATTTCCATATCCAACAAAATAAAACTATAACATCATAATAACTTACACCTAAGATTGTTCAAGGGTGTCAGCTTTGGAACTAAGGTGCACACTGATTGAGACAAAAGAACAATCTGGATGAAAAGAACATTGTCAAGGAAATGATTTATAAGTTTGATGAGAGAAAGGGTCCAATAGTAAATCACAAGTAATCTACTTAAACATTGTGACTTCATTGACAATCTTACTTAAACAAATGAAGTAAGCAAATAGATTATAAGCGCATGATCTAAGTGACGCGTCAAGAGATTTCACATCTCAATTGTACCAACATGGCTGATTCTGTCTCTCATCAAATCAAGACGTGAACGTTATTGGTCTAGGTAAAGAGAGAATTATTGATATGCAGAAATTTTATCAAAGAATGGGCTGTAGTACTTAAAATCACAGCGGCAAGGAAGATTATCGTGTTTTTGGCTTTGGATTCTCTTTGGCTGATTTTGCTGGGTTCAAGATCTTCGATGCTGCAAGCTCAGCGAGTGCGTAGACGGACATTGAAGGGTGTGCGGCGATCTGCGTTGGAAATACACTAAAGAAATTGTAGGATGGAAAAAATGTCCTTTAATCAAACTAGAAATTCAATCGAGGATGATGCAGTGAATGAAAGGTTACCTAGCGTCAACAATTCTCAAGTTGTTTACATCATAGACCTTCAATTCCGGGTCTACCACGCCACCGAGCTTTCGCGGCAGCATTGCCGCGGTTCCAACTGCATGATCTGAAAATACCAAAATTACACCGGTAGTAAAACACATCAGTGTGAGATCAAAGATGGCTTGTTCAGTCTTGAAAAACGAACAAGTAGTTGAGGAGCTGTCTTTCACGTGTTTCTTCCAATCTTTATCGCTCTTCACTGCGGAACCAGGAGTAAATTCTTTTGAAATAACTCCACTCCAAGCTGCATTTGTCATGATCGTTCTGGAATATTTGGTTGCCTTGGCAAGAAGCCAAAGATCAAAGGGATGGCTAAAATATCCTTCAAGAGGATAAAGAGAAAGTTTCAATATGACACAATCTTCCTCCATCCCATGCACTCATCACACCACAGCTTTGACTGACCAGGATCTATCAGGGGCGGCTTTGTTGGATCACGGCTACTGATGTGCGATGTTCCGCGTGACAAGGGGTATTGTAGAGAGGTACCTAGCGCAATACTGGTGTTGATGAATGTGTCAGAATTTTGCACGTTGAGACTTTTAGATCGTGATACTTTTAAAGCACGTACAGGGAAGCATTCGGAGGTTTAGCCGATCCGATGAAAGACTGTTCGCAATAGAAGATAATCTCTTTTAGTATGATAATTTGAGGACATGGACCGCTGCAAACTGACCAAGCCTCCGTTTGCGACAATGAATTCTATAGGGGTTCCATGCAACAGCTGTGCATTGATAGCGTCAAAGATTGGTTGGGGTAAGGTAGATGAGTTACTTTTTAAGATCTTCAAACCTTCATCCAATTCTTTTTTGGTTAAAATTCGACTCAATGGCTCATAATCCAAGAGCGGGTTGACCTGAGTCATGATACCATCGCGTTTGTCATTATAGAGCTTCATTTGTTCGGCCGCATAAGTAGGATTGGTCTGAAGATTGTCTCCAGAGGTGAGACCGTCTTTAAGTTGATAAGTGTTGAAGACCACTGCATGATCTGCCAGATTTGATCCGACACCAGGAAGGTCGAGGACAACCGGAATGTCAAACTTCTTCAAGATTGCCGGGTCACCCATCCCACTGCGCTCCAAGATGGCAGGTGTGCCAATGGACCCGGCACTCAAGATGACCTCTTTATGGGCCAAGACCTTTTTTTTCGACCCGTGAACTGAGTATTCAACGCCTTGGACATTGACTTTGCCGCCGTCTGACTTTGATACAATGAGCCGATCAACCTCACAATCCAGGAGGACCGCCAGATTTGAACGAGAAGCAATGGGGAAATCTTGGGCAGAGACAATTGAACATCAGAAAAGGTGCTACGCATGTCAGATGTCAAAGTTGCACTTACAATAAGCCTTTGCACTTGTCATCCTCTCAGCATTCTCGTCGATTGTCGACGGGAAGTAGTAGGGACCCTCCAAGGCTCCTTCAAAGCTATCTTGTAGCTTTCGAGCGTGTCTAAGACTCCCAGCCGCCAGAAAAAAACTCTGCACACTTGGAGGAAGATACTTTGGAAAAGTCGTTTTCACGGGTCCTTGTGTACCGTGGTATCTGGCGGCAAACGTAAAGTTGGTGGTGGCAGGTGGGGCTATAAACTTTTCAGACTTTCGGGAAGCTTTATCGAATTCGGCCCATCCCCTACGCATCCGAATGGATCTTATCAGGTTCTACGTTGTGGTCTCATAGGCTAAGGAACGTACCATCCTGGATTCCCTAGTGATTCAAAAGTATCATAATCCGGACGAGACGCTTTTGTGGCGACCATGAAGTTGATTGCCGAGGAGCCGCCTAAAACCTAAATACGACATTGATGATATAAATCATGATCAAGTTTCTATCGGGCTTTTCTTCGCAATGTGACTCACTTTACCCCGAGGATAAATCATGGTGCGGTTCCCTGCTTGACTCAGTGCAACGGTCGTGTAGTTCCAATCAATTTCCGACCGGAAGGTACTACCTGCCAGTGCCAGAAGAATATATTCACAGTGAGTTTTAATACTACTCCTGCCCCTAGACCAGGTGGATTCTCACCGGTGAGGCTAGGTATAGATATTCCGGTGTTGTTCAGTCCATTTCGGCCTGCCTAGAAATTATCCCAAGATTTAATCTCTCCGATCTCGCGCTGTTTATTGAAAAGAAGGAATCCTTTATGCACCTCCAGGACCAAGACCGAAATGTTTTTATTTTCTGAAATCCGTGATGCAACTGCCAAACCTAAGAGTGGGTAGGTCCCCGATAGTCAATGTCTATTGTCAATATGTCGGTCTGGTGGTAAAAGATGTATGGTGCGGTTGAAAGTGCTCACCAGCCGTGCCTCCGCCCACAACGATATAGTCATACGCATCTGTGCTTTCAGATTTCTTTTGAATGGTAGTCGAAAGGAATGTTGATACCAAGATGAGGCACAAGGCTGAGCTGAGCGTATTTGACTTCATCGCTTTCAATGATGACTTGTTGTTCTTACACTGAGGTCAATAATGAACAGAAAACCGGATGCTCAGGGAACTTCTGACCAAGTGAAAAGGTAGAAATAATTGTATTGAACAAAATCCCAAGTTGCTTATCGCACGCTTCGAGCGCATCGGGGTAAAATTAATGCCCCTGTGTACGAAGCAGCGTGTTTCATGGGTCGACGATCAAGCCCAGAAGGGTAACGTGAAGCCTTCGATCGCTAGGGGTTTACCAGCGGGAGCAGTTCCAAAGGCGGTTTTCTGGATCCACCCATGAGCAGTCACCAGGGTTTTGTCACCCCACGTGTATATGCAAGTTTACTGCCGGTCAATGTAGTGTGAGGCTGAAATGCTGTACCACAACTGTTGTCGAGCAAGGGGGAACAGGAGAAAACGTGTTCGTCGAGCTCGGAGCTATACTTATCATGTGAGGCTGGGTGTGTTGCAGAATGGTTAGCTGCTGTTGGCAGGGTCTGGATGCTGAAAGTGAAGGTCTGAATCGACTTGTACTTCCCAGAGGGACTTAGTTAAGTTTGTCTCTTCAACGTCATCACTCAGAGACTTGTATCAAGTTTTACTGATCCACCTCAAACTTTCAGCTCTTCACAAATGACGATGGCATAATGATGATCACCTAGTTCATTTCATTCCTTCAAGAATCTCACTCTCATTCTCATCAGTTTCAGCTCAAGATGCTACATTCAACAAGAAACCAAGATCAGGGATCACACTCCTCAAATTCAAACCGACAAGAAAACAAACCGAAATCAGAAATCTCAAAACCTACTTATCAACTTCATAAACCTACCAAAAGTTCAACTTCTCATCAATTCACCCCTACTTCATACTCTTCTCAAGACGCTCGTTCTTCAACTTCAAATCATGAATCTAAATCTAATCAAAAACTTTCTGTGAAACCAAGTAACAGTAATCAAAAGATGACCTCGATCAAACGAACCTTAAGAAACGATCCTTTGAAACGTTCTTCTTCTTCGATCTCACTCACAAGTAGTCTCTTAACTTCAATTCCAAGTCCTCCACCTTCATTAGGATTCTTAAAAGCATCTCGTCTCTTACAACAACAATCAAGCTCACTTCAATCTCGTATGGAAGAAGCTTCTGGCGCAAACTCTCCTCTGGCTCGGCTTCTGAGATACTGGAGTTCAACAGGAAAACCTCAACACCAAATCTTGATGTCTTCAATCGCAGTGGTCATACTGGTCAAACTATCGGTTAGTCTAGGTAGTTATAGTGGGTTCTCGAAGGGTCCTTTGTTTGGAGACTTGGAAGCTCAACGACATTGGATGGGATTAACTCTACATCGTGAGATTTCAGAATGGTATTTTTACGATTTGAATTGCAAGTTATTCTTTCTCACTACTTGAGATCATCACAAGCTCGTATGGCAAATTCACAATTTAGAACACAAATAACTGATCTCAAACTCTCCATTCAATTCTTGTAGATTGGGGTCTAGATTATCCACCCTTAACAGCATATCATTCTTGGATCCTGGCTCATATCGGTCGGATCTTCAATCCGATTTTTGTCGCACTCCGACCTCCACATCCCACGTCCGATGATCTCACTGGTTGGGGTGATCTACACGACTCTTTGAAGCATTTCCTACGTTGGACAGTCTTAGGAAGTGATCTGATCATTTGGATCCCAGTGGTCTTCATCTACTGTTTCATCACCTACAACACTTACCAATCAGATCACTCATCTTCTCATGCCAGCTCAAGATCGATCTCTAAAAGTAAAGCCAAATCCACAAACGCTATTCATTCAACTTTGTTATTACTTTTGAACCCGAATTTGATCTTGATTGATAATGGTCATTTTCAATATAACTCAATCATGCTTGGATTAACGTTGGCTGCGATCGTTAGTTTTCATCTTGATCGTGATTTACTTGGGGCAACTTTATATGTTTGTAGTATGTGTTTTAAACAAATGGCATTGTATTACTCACCTGCAATGTGAGTCAAGAGCCGATCAGATCTTCTTATGATATACATCTGATGAATTTCGTTTCTTTCACAGATTTGCCTATTTGTTTGGAAAATGTCTCTATTTACGTCATACAACTGGTCTCATTCTGTTTTTCAAGATCGCGATTGTTTCGATCACCACTCTCTTGGTCGTTTTCTTACCATTCATCGTCTTCGCTCCATTTCCTAGTACGATTCTTCAAACGATTCATCGGATCTTTCCATTATCTCGTGGTCTTTTTGAAGACAAGGTAGCCAACTTTTGGTGTGCAATGAATGTGATCATCAAATTTCGAAGTTTGGCAGAGGTCAGTACGTTAGCCAAAGTGGCTTTATTGATGACTCTCTTAGCTGTCTTACCTGGGATGATCATTGTAATATGGGTGAATTGGAATCTGGGATCTGAAGCCAGAAATGAAGAAAGCGAAACTGAAAAGCCAATGATGAAGAAGATCCCTAGAAGTTTATCATTAGTACCTTTGAGTCTATTCAATTCATCAATGGCCTTTTATTTATTTTCATTTCAAGTTCATGAAAAGACAATCTTGTTACCCATCTTACCTTTAATGATGATCATCAGTCAAGAATTTCATGCCACCAATCAATTCGATCTTAATACTGATGGGCAATGGACTGGATTGATTAGTAATGTGGCTTGTTTCAGGTACGCTCAAGGTTTGTTTTCGGATATTCTGATTGTTTTAGTTCGTTTGGACGAGTTTGTGTCGATAAATTGTCAAAAGTTTGAATTTATGAACTGATTTTTTGATTTTTCATTTCAATTTGATTAACTTTGTGATTTTTTTTGGAAAGTATGTGGCCATTACTTCAAAAAGATAATTTACATTGGCAATACGTTACATTACAAGTTTTATATAATTATTTAATAGGTTATAATCCGATTAAAAAACTGGCCCAATGGAGTTTTATTGATTATTTAACGATCATAAGTTATGTTTTGATAGGATTGATTCATTTGAGTGAATTGATGATTAAAGCACCTGATCGATTACCTGATCTTTATATTGTGATGAATTTAAGTTTAAGTTTTAGTATTTTCGGATTAAGTTATCTTTGGTCATTACATAGGTTAATAGAAGAAGGATGGGGATTGATTGGATTTACGAAGAAACCATTGAATTCAAACACCAGACCAACATGTACATCATCATCATCATCTACTAAATTGGTATCAAGATCATCAAGTTTATCAAAAGGATCGAAACCTCAACCGGTACCTAGTTTGCATTCAAGAATCGATAGTATTTCGAATCCAGAAATCAAGTTTATTGAAGAAGAAGAAGAAGAAGAAGAAATAAGTCGAGAAGGAAGTAAAACTAAACGAGCCACCAGTTTACAAGCTAGACCTAAAAAACCGATCCATTCACTTTTATCGACGAATGAAAGAGGACCGATCCGGTCTAGATCGTTAGGTGGTACTAGTTTGATGAACTCTCAACAGATCCGAACGAATTTGAAACTTAAGACTATGATTAGTAGTCCTAGAGCTGATCAATTGATGAATCGGATTCGAAATCGAGTGAATGCTGAACAAGCTGTGATTGGTACGACTGGGAGTGGAAGTTCTTATCAGCTGCAGCAGAATAGACCACAACGGATGTTGGTGAAGGAAGAAGGGTATGGGAGAAGATCATCTTTAGGTGAAGAGGTTGAAGTTGAACAAATTCAAGCTAATAGAGGAGAAGAAGAAGTGGAAGGAGAAGAAGTGGAAGAGGGAGAAGAAGAAGTGGAAGGAGAAGAAGGAGTAGGAGAAGAGGAAGAAGGAGAAGGAGGAGAAGGAGAGGAAGAGGGAGAAGAAGGAGAGGAAGAAGAAGGAGGAGAGGAAGGAGAGGAAGAAGAAGGAGAGGAAGGAGAAGAAGAAGAAGAAGAAGAAGAGATTCCAATTGAAAGGATCCAAACCAGTCGAGAAGAAGAAGGAGAAGAATCGATGAATGATGGAGAAAGGATGAGTCGAAAGATTGAAGTGGTTGAACAAGATTGGGAGATGGCTTTGAGACAGAGTAGAGAAGGAGCGATTAGAAGAAGAAGAGAAGAATTGAGATTACAAGCTAATTTGGCTAATGCTAGTGTTACAGGAGGAACAGGAGGAGGGGCAGGAGGAGGGAGTAGGAAGTTGAGTATGAGTATGAATATGAATTTGGTGGGTGGATATGTTGATGCATTGGATTTGGTGAATGGACCTCCAAGTAGAAGATAAAGTTGATCAGTGGTTTTTGGTTTTCTTTCTCTGATTTGATTTTTCATTCATTCATTTAATTTTTATGTTTATTTTTTGATTTTATTATGCATTTGGTTTCACTACGTACAAGATCACTTGATTTTTTGTTTGATTTTTGCCGTAGATGATGATTTGATTGAGAAGTGTGATGAGTTGATTTGATGGATGTAGAATTTTAAATGAAGTGAGGTTGAGTGAGAAGGATATGTTTATAGATGGTGAGAATATGTTTATAGATGGATCGATTGATTTGGAGACGTGTCATCGATCAGAAATTAGAATCAGATTGACCGCATATATTTGAGCATCAGCATCAGAATCGAGTTTGATTTTCAGATTGGATTTGATTTGAGAAGATAAATACAATTTTAGAAGAAAAGTTATTTAAAAAAAATAAAATTAAAACACCATGGAACCAATCAGAAGCCAATCAACTACAAGTAAATCAACTTCAAGTAAATCACTGGCTTCTTTACTTAATCCTTCTTCACCTTTACCACCTTCAAATCAAATCCATCATTCACGTCCATCTAAACGTTTCAAATCAAATTCAAATTCACATTCATCTTATCAATCTAATTCCGAAAACAATTCTCCAAATCTATCTCATCAAAAGCTATCATTATCTCATTCAAGACCATCTACTACTTCAACCGATCTTATCAATCCACATCGTAGTGTATCACATCCTATCATCTTATCAAATTCAACTACTAATCCTTCTATCAGACAAGAATCAGATTCATCTGATTATAATCATTCGATCCCTGAATCTCATCAATCATCTGATCATTCTAGACCTCCTTCCATCACGCCTACTCTTTCGAATCCTGAACCTCAAAAACCAATCTCTTTATCTACTAATCAATTCATTCAATCAGATCATCATTCAAATACCCATCAAGAACTCCTTCCAGAACCTATCAAACCTATTCCACCTAATCTCTCCATGAATCTAGAACCATCTAATCCGTTACAAGGATTAGAAGAATCGATCTTTGGTATCGGAGCATATGATGATTTTGTAGCATCCATCGGACGGTTTATATGGAAACATGCTAAACCATACTGTGAAAGGAACGAAGGACATTTAATAGAAGTAGAAGCTAAACTAGGCACGATCAAACCCAAGCATGGAACTGTAGACGAACGAATGTATTTCCCAGTAGAAAACGAATCAGCTTTAATTAATTTAGAGTCTAATCGATTTGAAACTAACATGACCGAATCACAACATCGATCGTTTAATGAATTATTAAATCTTAGAGTTATGGAAACTAATGAAGCTCATTATTTGGGATCTAAGATTAAGTATTCACATTCGAAAGATATTGATGAGTTTTATGATCATCAGATTAGAGTGACTAAATCACAAGGGAATGGAGAAATTAAAGAATCGATTGTTAAGTTGAAATTAGGTTCATTGGATATCACTTGTCCTTCTAGATTGTTTGATTTTAGAGTATCGGTGAATCTTGAAAGACCTGGTCAGTCTTTTTCTTTTTCTGTCAATAGAGAGAGAGTTTCTTTTTTTTTGGAAAATGGAAATCTAATGGATCTTGGGAAATGATTTTGGTTTTTGATTAGCTCCTTTACCACCACCTGATGCTTTACCACATTATCGTCGAATCAAAGATAGATTATCATACGAACATCAAATTTGTCAAATCGATTTAACTCAAGTCAAAACAGATGATCCCAACGTAAACCCACTTTCTCTCTCTTTAAACCTCTTCTCTAAGGACCATTCATTCATGTTTTTTTTTGGTTTGGTTTCTTTTTTGGGGGTTTCTGATTTAGGTTAAAGTTCAACATGAATTAGAAGTCGAAATTAAAGACATTCAAACTTTATTAAACTTGGGATTCCAATGGAACGAAGGTACAGGTGATCCATCTTACTTGATTTATTTAAAGGTTTGGTTAAATAATGTTAGATTATTGATTCGAAATTCGATTGAACCTTGAGGAAGAAGGAAAACAAAAATCTTATATAACAAATTGGATGATCTCTTTGAGTATATATATATATATATATTTAATGGTTTTTATTGTATCATGGGTTTCTTTTTTTTTCTTCGTTTTATATATTGTGAGGGGTTTTTGGGATTCGAAGTTGTTGTTTTTCTTGGTCTTTAGATTTTTTTTGGTTTTTTCATTTTGTTGTCATTGATTTATTTTCATTTATTAGACTCTTTCTTTTTTTTTGGAATTCTTATTTACGATTTTTTTTGAAAGGGAATCGTTTTTTGAATGATTTTTTGAATGATGGAAAAAAAAGATAAATCAAGAAATGTATTGAGAACTGTGTTTGAGTTTTGGTAAAAATTTGATGAGGTGGTTTATGGTGATGAAAGTGAGGAGATGTTATGTATTATAGGTTTCTAAACACAAGAAAGTGGTTCATCAGAATCTAAAAAGTAAGTACAACAACAACAGCACCATCTCCTTCAAAACAAAACAGATTCTAAGATTCGATTCTTCTGTTTTACTAGAACAACTCAGGATTCAATCTCATTCTCAAGCTTAATGTCAAAGGATGATAATGCTATTGATCATCAATCCAATTGGAACTCACTCATAAATTGGTTAACTCAAGAACATTCTATCGATCCAAATCAAATCAAAGTCAACTTAATCATTAATCCAAAAAGTAAATCAATTCATCTTAAAGTCTAAAACTCATGTTCTAATCAATTCTTTTTCTTTCTAGTATAGATCATCAAAGAACTTTAGTAGCTAATCAAGATATCAAGGTAACTTTTAAACCAGCTATCAAAACCAATTCTTGCAAAATCTAATCATTTACAATTCTTTTACGTATATCTATCTAGGAAGGAACACCGATCATTTCGATTCCAAACCAAGCTTTATTAAACCTGAACACTTTACCTAATTCATTTAAAGATCCACTCAAACCATACCAACTAAATTCCTTTCAAACCATATCTTATTACTTATCAAACCATCATCCGAATCGAAGATTTACAAAAAAATATCCATTTCAAGATTACATTCATACTTTACCTCGATCATTTGATGAGATTCCATTATGTTTAATTCTAGAATCACGGTTAGGTGATCTACGTCGTATCAAACTTTCTGATTATGATTTGTTCAACTCGATTCGATTTGATCTTTCTGATCATTCTTGCGAAGTTAGAGATCGAAAGTTTAGTGGTTTGAAATGGATGACAAGGTCAATGAAAGTCAAGTGTGATGAGGTGACTCGGAGGTTTTTGATCGATTGGAAATCGGTTTCGAGCATCCAAGATGAAGAAATCATGAGTTTAGATGAATTTCTTTGGGGTTGGTTAAATGGTACGTTCACTTCTTTCAAACTATCTTTTCTGGTCGCTGTGTGCGTGTTTCTTCGTACGGTTTTGCAATTCTGATGACTGATTTTCTTATATTTTTAAGTCAATACAAGGTGCCTTTGGTTCGATCTAGGACTCAAAGATCATGATGACAATATCACCTTAGCACCCGTCATCGACATGGTAAGTCACCCATTCATTAATCCGACTTCAATTCCAAAAAGGCTTACAAACCCTCCGTTTTTTCATCTGACTTAAACCAAAGGTAAATTACACCCTCTCAAGCAAAGTGAAACCAATCTGCACTCCCAACACATTCAGCTTATACTCATCCCATCCGCTCAACCAATTCACATCCCCAAGCACCAAACGCTTAATCATATCATCCCAAACCTCCCGATCACCTACCCTTCATCCTACTCTCTCACATCGAAAAGGTGATGAGATTTTGTTTTCCTATGGGTCTCATAGTAATCTAACACTTTGGTCAGAGTATGGGTTTCTTATTCGACCAAAGTTTTCAAATGGTTGGAATTCGGTTGAGATTACTAGAGAGGTTTTGGGTTTGTTTGAGGATGATCATGATGATGGGGTGCAGAAATTGTCGGTTTTGAAGGATTCAACGTACTGGAAGTGGGTTGATGATTTCCATTTTGATGATCCTCAAAAGAATCGCGAGTTTTAATACCATAAGTTGTTTTTTTTCGTAGAGATTATACCATTGAATCCAATCCGATCGGTCCATCTTATCGTACCTTAACCGCCTTACGATTACTGTATTGTCCATCTCTGAAACTTTCGAATTGGTATGAGATCATTAATGGTGAAAAAGATGAATGTAGTTTAAATGTTGAAGATCAAATTAAAGGAACGATTGAAAAGATTTGTTTAAAATTGATTGAAGAGATTGATTTGAGTTTAGTAGATCGATCGGATTGGTGGATTGGTAATGAAGGGGAAGGCTTAGGTGGGTGTGTAAAAGAGTTGATGGTGGAGGAGAAATGGATTTTAGAAGGATGTTTGAAATTGATGAATGAATCAAATTGAATCAGAAATTAACGAAGTTTGGAACCGTTTGGTTTAGGGAAATACTCGGTGTCTTTTTTGTAAGCAAGAATTGGGATGCGATTGTTATTAAGCAGCAAAACTCTACAACCAACAATACAAGATAGAGAAAATGAATGATGAAATCATGAAAAAAAAACCTTATAATACAAACATGATGCTTGGTGTTTGGCGCGTCCGAGAAAGAAGAGAAAAGAAAACAATGAAATTGAGAAATAAAAGTAGAAAAGAGTTTATGGTTATCAATCTAAAATCTTGGCATCAAGAATGTATCTATTTATAAACGGTTTACAAATCCACATTGAAAAGACAATAAAGAAGACTCTAGAGAATTTCTTGGGTAAGAAACTTTCAAAGATGATAGCTAAAGATTGAGCTATGAAGTAGTATAATAGAGCAGGAGAATGATCAAAGAGATGGTCTAATGGATTAACTGGATGTAGTAAAGCAAAGACAGCTGAGAAAATCACACGAAAAGTTAGTTTCGAACTGGGATGATTTAGGCATGTAATAAAAACTTACCATATTCATGTAAGATTCCACTTGCAAGAAAAGTACCGATCAAACCAGCAAGTTGAGAAAGTTTAAAATTCAATCCTAAGAATTGATTAAAAAACCAAAAAGTAGGTTTACCACCTAAAGTTAAAAAAGATCTTTTTAAGATTGGATGCCATCTATGACTCCATAAATCATTTAAAGAATTAGATAGATGAGGAGAATTAAATATAGGAGGATAATAAATTGGATTAATTAATTCTAAGAAATCAGATGAAAAATAATTTGGAAATCGGGTCAAGAATTTGTGTATGAAATGAAACATGATCGTTATGGATGTGAATTGTAAATCTATTGAACTTGATAAACAGATTCCAAAACTTATTCTATGGATCCATTCTGAAATCAAATCTATGAACCATATGTTTGGAATTCCGTATGAAGTTAAGGCTGACATAGGTGTTTGTAGGGGAGAACGATGGGTTTGTAGAATGATTAAACCTGAGACAAGTAATGCGATGGAGACTTTTATTAACCTTTTGAACAACTCTTGGATTGTGTAATTGTTGGCTTTTGCAGTTGGTCCAAAAGTGAATTGTAATCCTCTAAACCTGTTATTAAAGAAGATAAATGGTCAGTTTTAAGAAGAATGGGATGAAGTATACATCAAAGAATCACTCAACGAAGTTAAATTTAAGATCGTCCACCAAACCAACTTAGTAAACCCAACCGGACCTTCTTCTTCCTGAGCCTTTTTCAAATCCTTTAACCTATCTAAATCTTTAACCTGGTTCCATTCCAAACTTCCATCCTTTTCGTTCTTTTCAATTTTTCTAACATAATAAGATTTTTTAGAAAACCCAAATTCTAATGATTTAATAGCAAATATAATCGAATTAGAACCGAACCCTAATTTTTGAAATGTATCAAAACTGCTAGGTAATCTAGAATTCGATCTAAAAGGTGATGTAAAAAATAAATAGAAATTGATGGGTGTTAAACTTATTCTTATGTATTTTGATAAGTTTGATTTGATGAAGGTTGGGTGTAGGGTTGATGCTTGGATTGAGATTAGAGTGAATGAGATGATCATTTGGTAGATGTAGCTATAGTTTGAGGCACTTGTTGATGGATCATGATGTGAATTGGGTTGCATGATCATCGTGGTTTGGTTAGTGGTATTCATCTTGAGTAAGAGTAAGAATTTACAGATCAATGGATGGCTTGTGGTCTTTCGTATTTCTATTTCGTGGAAGATGACAAGAAGTGGAAAAGAAAACTGTGAAGCGGAAGAGATGATTCAAGAAAGTGTTCAAGACTGATCCAAACTGTTTATATATTTCTTTCTCAATCTGGAATCTAGATGACTGATCAATACTACAAGCTCCGATATTTCGATACACAAACTCCGACCGATTATCTAAAAAAAAATCCAGATGTAAAATTGATTCCTCGCCTTTTCAAGATCTTGCCATCTGAATCGATCAGACCAAACCAATCAGTCACACACAACAGTGCACATACCAAACCTTCTTTCTCAATTCTTTCATATCTTGTTGGATCTTGGATCCTAATCGGTTTCTGATAATCAAAAAAAAAAGAGACACACCGCAAGTCTTGATTGAAATTTGAAACTCACCTTTTAAAGGAATTCTAATCGAATTTGAATCTGAAAGAAAAAATAACCAAACTTGTCATGATCAAAGTTGAACCCACAAATAAGCTTAGGAAAAAATCAAACTTCAGTTCAATAGATAAGAGTAACCCTTACATGAACAACTTAAATATGTAAGAGCATTCACAGCCGTGCCGTACATTCGTGTTTTGTAAGGAGGGGAGCATGGAATCTGGATTGTTTTAGGTGTACTTGCTAAAACCATTGGCTTTTCACCTTTTGTCATCTTCTTGTCTCAAGATTGGAGTATTTATTCATTTGAGACCCATACGTAATGTGATTTTATGAAAACAGGAGCACTTTTTGTATATATCCTGTTTTTGTAAAACATAAACAATTTATGTTTACAATTCAGCCCCCATCAACTAGGCTCTGGCAGCCAAGAGCCTACCACTGACTTCATGAAAGCTTCATGAAAGCTTCAGAAAGATTTCAAGAAAGCTTCAATATGTTCTCAATAAAGCTCCAATGTAACTTCAGCTGGACATAAGATCCAGCACAAGTGACATGGGTTCATCTGATATCAAGCAATCAAGTGTGGGCCCAGTTTATGTTTTTTTTAATCAAATCTCAATCTTTCAGAAAAAGTGTTCACTTGGTCACATCAAAATTTGAACCACAGGATCAACCATTACAAAAATTAATGTCAGATTACAATAATCACAAAAGATTCATCATGTCTAGAGTATATTATTATTACAGCTTTAAGACACATATTGAGGTCACTCCATATCCATTGCATCAGTGACATGGATGCATTACATACAGGTATGTAGTCTCTGATATCAAGCAATTAATTAGGGGCCCAGTTTACCTTGATTTTTTTGGCTGCATTACATATGGTTCAGTGTTATTGATGTCCTGAAGGGTGGAATCAAGTTACTACTGCTATCAGTACAGATCTTATCCTAGAAGATATCACTGTTCAGCCTGAGCTCCAAAACCAATGCCCCAAGGGTTCCCCGAGCCCCAAACCCTTGGGGTGCAGGTTTGGTCAGGCTTTTTGGGACCCCAGTACATTGGGGAGCCCGTAGGGTTTTGGGGCGCGGGCTGCATAGTCCTCCAGCCCCCAATGCTATCTGCGGGGATCCCCAGCTACCCACAGGTTTTAGGCCTTTGGGATAGGGGTTGGGGGGCCTTCTGAGAGCCGGGTTTTGATTGGGTCGGGGTAGGGTTTGGGCACAGGGGGGCTCATTGGATATTGGTTTGGGGTGCAGGTAGGCCATTACCCACGCTTTTTGGGTCAGGGCTCAGGCTGAATCACTGTTTCATTTCTTGTAAAAAACTGGTTTGAGTGTAGTGTTGCAAAGCAACACATAGAACAATCTAAAAATTTTGGATGCATTTGACAGTGTTTATTTGGTGAGCCAAACTATATGGAGCTTTACTGCCAAGATCTTGTGATTCAAAATTTCTTCAAACAGATCTCCCAAAAAGGTTTGAAAATTTTTCTCTACAGCCTCACTTATTTTGATAAACAAATGTGCAATGGCTGGCAGATGCCAGTAAAAATATGTACACCTCTGTAGTAACACAACCTGAGTGCTAAGATATGGCTTTCTCAAATTTCTTTGAGAAACACCTGAATATGTAAATACAGTCCCAGAAAATTACACAAATATCTTCTACTATCTTGAATAATTTTCTCCGTAAACCTCATTTATACATGTAGACAGATGGAAAGTGTCTGATGGATCTCAACAGTACTGTATACACCCCTGTACAGACCGGTATTGTGGGGATATTGTGGTTTTGTGTCAGACTGAGCCCCGACCCGAAAAAAGCGGGTAGTGCCATGACCGCACCCTGGACCGATAGCTAAAACCCCCCCCGCGCCCGAAACCGACCTTAACCCAACTACCCCCCGGCCTCCTGAACGCCCCCCGCCCCCGAAACCAAGTGACCGAGGGTTAACCGATAAATAACGGGGCCCCGTCCCAAAAGGCTTACGTGTGCGTCCAATCAATTTTTTTTTAAAAAAATATAAATATAAATTCATTAACAACTCCGATCGGAAATCATCCAATCATTGTCAAATGCCACATACCTCGTACCATCATGAATTCCATCATATCCACTCCAGCTTTGACTCCAGCACCTTCTTCTCGCATGGAAACCAGTGATGATGAATCATCATCAGTGGTAGTTGAAAGTACCAAACGTAAGCGAGGCAGCTATGTCTGGACTCATTTCACCAAGATCAAAGGTAAAAAAACGAGGTGAAGGTTCCAACCAATGTGAAGTTCTTGATCCCAAGACTGGGCGGGTGTGTGGTACAATGATGAAAGAAGACGCAACTGGAAGCACAAAATCGATGTCGGCTCACCTGAAGGCTAAACACAACATCTCCAAGGACGGACCAGTCAAGCAAACAAGTGTAGTAGGTTACTTCAAGACCAGGCAGGTTAGCGAGGTGGTGAGTTTCCTTCCATTAAACTCTTACACTTCTTCTTCATGTTTTGATTTTTTTATTGCTTTTTGTTATAGGAAACTCTTAACATCGAAACTCTTAAAACAGCAATTTGCTATTTCATCTCCAATTGCGACCTTCCTTACGCCATTGTCAATCGAAAGTCATTCAAAGACCTTGTCTTACTTATTAACCCCCAAACCTCTGGGATGCTTGTTCAGCAACATGCGATAGCTCAACACTGTCACAAAGTTCACTCTCACTATGAAACCTTTATTCAGACCAACTATTTCAATCGAGCTAAGTATGTAGCCTTCACTCAAGATGCTTGGACCTCACCGAACCATCATGGTTTCTTAGGAATCACTGCTCATTTTATCACAACTGATTGGAAGCTTATGGATGTTGTGATTGGGATGCCTCAAATAGAAGGTAAAAGTTTCTGTTTATTCATTCTTTCCTCGAGTTACCAATAAGTTGAATATTACAATAATTTTTATAGGTCCCCACGATGCTGATAACTTCAGCGAGATACTTGTCAAGTACATACGTAAATACAACCTAAACTTGAAGGTAGCTGCGATTACGGCCAATAACGCCAGTGTAAATGGTAAAATTGCTCGATTGCTCTCACAAGAAGCCAAATTCGACTTCGAGGAAAACCAGATGCTGGGATTCTGTGCTCATGTTATTAATCTAGCAGCCAAGCAGGGCCTTGCCCTTTTTGGAGACGACTCGACCAATGATGAAGACCTTGTTGCTCCTTCCCTGAACAACATTGTCCACCCTCCTGACAACACTTCAGTCAACCTCAAGACCATTTATGCTCGGGTACACGGTCTCGCACTTTTCACACGAAAGACACCTCAACAAAGTCAGAGCTTCGCGAGTGTTATTGCTCTAGTTCGATCTCTCGAAGCTTCTGCTGACCCCAATTCCAATTCCCCGAATGAACTCGAGGAAGCTCAAAACAAGGCCATGGCTTTTTTCCAGCATCACAGCGCATCTAACCCCGATGAAACTCCACTTACTACATCAGCTGATTGAGTGGACAGGTTGATGGTGGACGTTCCAACCCGATGGAATTTGTCCTATCTCATGCTTAAGCGATGTCTTCAACTGAAATCAGCCTGTGTGCACTTTTGCGAACGCCAAGCCCCGAGGTTTTCTCTATCAGAATTGGAATGGGGATATGTTCAACAGATGTGCGACTTTTTGGAGCCGCTTAGTGAAGCTACTGACATGCTCTGTCAAAGACGATTTCCTACGATGCATGAGGTGATT